ATTTAAAAACGAGGCTCAATACTACTCTAAACTGAAATCCCATGAACAAGCAGGCATACTTATTCATTATATTTTTAAAATCTGCCTTAATGTTTATTTTTGAATTATTTATTCCATTTTTTTCTACATTATTAAAATACCCAAATTATAGAGAGAGGATTTGGGGGAAACTTTTCTTTTAACTTTATGAATTACTATGTTTTCAGTTATGATATAAAAGATATTTCTAACTGTGGGTCATGGTAAAAATATTTTGAGGGCTGAGAGGTAGGTAGAGTGCTTGCCTAGCATGTGCAAGACCCTGGGTTCAATCTCTACTACTGGAAAAAAATTTTTTTTGAAAAGCATTGCCCTAGAAAAATTCACCCCATGTGAAAAGGAAAACATATATAACAATTTCAGTGCTGCATTGTTTGAAATATTGAAAAATTAGCAGCAGGATAAATTTTTTTATGCTGAATTACTTTATAATACCCCTCAACCAGTTTTCAAACTCAGCACCTTGCACTTGCAAGGTAGGCATGGCACCACTGAGCTAAATCCCAGCCCACTATAATCTTATTTTTAAAAAAATTTTGTTAGTGCACATTTGCAATACATGATTACATTTATTGTGGGGAGTTGGTACATGTACGTAGTACACCTTAATTTCTCCTTCTCCTTCACTCCCTCCCCAAGTAGCTACCATGTATTGAGATGCCCATATACCAGTTAAAGAATCAGAGCTACAACATAAATAACTCAAAAATATAGGGCTGACAGACAACTGAAACAGGATATACATTATCCTAATTTGTATAAGCTTTTAAACATGAAAAGTTTTTAAGTGATTTATACATTAGGAACGCTAAACATTCAAGTTTCAGATAATGGCTACTTCTTGAATATGGAGACTTCATATCTAGTATTTTACTTTTTTTGATAAAGGTAAGTATGGGCTAAAGGATATTTTCTCTATAAACTTTGTCTGAATGTCATCAGTATCCTAAGTAGCTTTGACAGCCATCAGTGGTACTGGGTTCCCCTTACAAGCTTAAGAGTTAAAAGCAAAGAAGGTTTAAAAAAAAAAAAGAAGCAGTAGATAAGTTGTTTTTAAAGCTGAATGGAGAGAGGTGTAAACAGAAATGAGAGCAGTAGGTTAATGTGGAAGAGTAATATGGTTATTATCCTATGTGACTGCAGTGGTTGAAGACGTTTTTGCTGTAATACTGTGTAACTCATGTTTTCTATAAAGGGTTAAAAATCTTTGTTAATAGAAGTATATGTAAAAAAAATCTCAAATTACACTAAAATAGGTTCATTGTTTTAAAAGCAGGGTAGTTAAACAAAAAGAAATGGAGTATTCAAAATCCCATCTACTGATACTATACTGTATGCCATTATAGATGATATACCATACTATAGGAATCATACTGTTTTGTAACCTTTTTCACATTCATCAGTATGTACTGAAGAACAATAGTTAGTTGAAGAACAGTATTGTAGTTTTCTGTTACATGAATGTACCACAACTTACCATTTTCCTGTTGTGAAATGTTTTCATGAATTCCAGTTTTTTGCTTTTTAAACATTTTAAAATATAGTTCTGCAATAGAATATTTACAATATACATCTTTAATTATTTCCCCAGGTTAACTTCATGGGTGTTAAATGAAAGGTTATTTTTGAGGTCTTGGATTCTGATCTAGTTCATCCCTAGAATAGTATTTTTCCTAGCAATATAGGAAAATGAAAAGGGCAGATGTAAATGGAAAGGATGTGAAAGTCATTAATAATTGTTCAGCATAAATATGTGTAGATTTTATTTGGAGTTGGAGGACTCTAAGTAAAATGTATACTACTTAGATCAAAATAAATTCATTACAAAATAGGTTTCAAGTGGCCTGTTTCATTGTTACAGTTAAGGGTAATTGGGTTCCTTTTTTACCTCAGACATTTTCCAGTTAGAATACCTGGAAACTTAATCCTAATAGATTTTCCTTTTTTCTCTTGTTCTTGTCTTTCCTTTTGAAATTTTCAAATAAAATTAAGACTTCACGGGCTGGGAATGTAGCTCAGTGGCACTGTACCTGCCTGGCAAGGGCAAGGTCCTGAGTTCTATTCCCAGTACCAAAAAAAAAGACTTCATTACATCCCTCCTTTAGGACTGTAGGAGGAAATGATCTTGAAATGAAAATATTTCAGATATGTGACAGAATAGCTTTAAGCTGCCCAAAGCAAAGTCTCCCTTTACATTGGTCACCAGGAAAGTCCAAATTAGTGTTGTGTAGTAAATTTCCTACTAGGAAAGAGAGCCAATCATGTGGAAGTGGGTATGTGGTAAGGTTATTGAAAAGTTCAGAGTTGAAGAAATATTTAAGGTACAATCATTGTAGAAATGGTATACAGGGAAAGAGAAATGTTTCAAAGTGTAGGAATTATCATCCGATAATTTTGCTAAGGATGAATGTTACAGATCTCAAAACTAGGAACTACCCAAATGGAGCAATAATGAGTATAGCACCGTGTACATTTTTCTTTTAATTGTATTTTTTGCTTTGCTTGATACTCATAACTAGATATAGTAACAAAAGTAAACTGTTTTGAAAGGCAAGGATGGTGTTTCATTCATTTTTTGTCGCCCATTCTCTATACATGGATAGTAACTAATCAGTAAGTGCTAAAACAAATAATTATTTCATTAATTCTTTTGAACAGACTGGATTGTGGACAGAACTTGGAAAGATTGAGAATAATTTCTTAAAGCCACTCCATACAGGACTTAATATGTCAAAAGCACACTATGAAGCAGAAATTAAAAATAGCCAAGAAAATAACCAAGGTTGGTAATATGCAATTTTAAGTTAGGTCTAAAAATTACTCAGATTTTGGGACTGTCACATTCAAGATAAAGAACACTTTAGTTCATGTTCAATTTATGTGAAATGAGGGACCACAAGAGCTAAGTCATTTCACTTATAATTAAACTGATTCTTAGCAAATCTCTAAGCCAATTAACACTGAAATGGAGTTAATGAAGATTTACACCAAATTGAAGCATAACCTGTTTCAAAGTCTCAAGTTCTGATTACGAATGTGGTTGGATTGGAAGTTAAGGCAGGAAGACCACAAGTGCCGGGTAACTTGGTGAGAACATGTCTCAAAATATAAAGGGTTTGTGGGTATAGCACAATAGTAGAGCATTTGCCTAGTATGTGCATAGCCTTGGGTTCAATCTCCATTAGTGAAAAAAATAAACGTTTTTTGTTTTGTTTTGTTGTTTGAGACAGGGTCTCACTATGTAGTTTAGGCTGGCCTTGAACTCACTATGTAGCTCAGACTGGCCTTGAACTTGTGGCGATCCTTTTGCCTCAGCCTCCCAAGTGCTGGGACTACTGGTGTGTATCATGCCCATATAAAAAAAAATTTTTTCTTTATAAAGAATATGGTTGTGTTACAAGCATTTTCCTTTTGTGCCATTATACATTCTTTTGTATTGCTAGGTCCACCTCTATCTTAACCCTGAATAAATCTGTACAAATTATGAAAAAGAATCTTAGATGGCAGACTTAAGCCAGCAATTCTACTTTAATAATGAGATCTCATATATATATATATATATTTTATATGTGGTGGTATTTTTATAGGCATTATTAAAATTTTATCTTTTTAAAGGGCTATAATTCCACATATAAAAATGTTTTATGCATCCTTTACATGCCAAAATAATGCTGTTTATCTGCAAAAGCATTAGTTCATACACCGCAGAATCTAGTGTATATTTTGCTTATAGCTTGATTTAAATATTTTTTGAGGTGTTAAATAAGATTTAATAATTTACATAAGTAACTGAAACATTTAAGTTAGTAAATGATGAAAGTAGCTTATAAATGTATTATTAAAATCTGAGAGTTGTTTTAATGGTTAAGTTTGATGTGATTTTTCTTCCCTTACAGTAGTTCAAAAGTCTAAGGACCTTTGTTCTGTAACAGTAGGTAGAGAAGAGATCCCCAGTATGCCTCCTGAAATGCAGCTTAAGGTGATCTGAAATTTTCTTAAGCAATGTCTGGCTAGTCTTTTCTATGTTTTGTTTTAAAGGCAGCATTAATAACACTAATTTTTCTTGGTGTTGCAGGTCCTACATTCAGCTCTTTTCACGTTTGATTTGATTGAAAGTGTTCTAGCTCGAGTAGAAGAACTCATTGAAATAAAAACAAAGTCTACCTCTGAAGAAAATGTTGGAATAAAGTAAAAGTTCTACTTCCTAAATAAAAATTAATAAAATACTCTATTTTCCATTATGCTTTATTTATTACCTTTGTGAATTTTTTTCTGCAAAAAGGTACTGCTTTTTCAGTAGTCAGATTCTATCAAAACACACTATGGATCATGGATTATAGTTTTTAAAAGTCAAAAATGTTACATTTGAAAGTTTGCGGGCAGGGATTTAGCTCAATGGTTCCACTGCCTGCCTCGCAAGCACAAGGACCTGAGTTCGATCCCTGGTACCAAAAAAAAAAAAAGTTTGTTACAAACTAATAATTTGGTATTTCATAAAATGTAGTTGAAATGCTTTCTTCATTAATATAGTTGAGTTTATAAAAGGATGATACACTTTCTGCTTGTTCAGTGCTGTATAATAGTTTAGAAATCCTAGTGTGAAGTTAGATTCCACACTACTGTAAAAGTGATGTACTTAAGACAGTTTATTGGTTTTCTTAGCTTCCCTTCATGTGCTTCAAGAGGAATCATATGGAACAGTCTCTTCACAACCCCTCTAGCAGCTAATGTGAAAGCACCTACAAAGGTGAATTTTAAAATATTGGCTGCCCTTGTGGAAAACCTGAGAGAGGGAGAAAGAGAGTTTTTCTTTTGTGCAAGGAACCGATTAGGAAATTCTGTATTTCAGTTCCTCTTATTTGTCCATCCAGCTTAATCTTTATCAAGAAACTGAATGAGTTTTATAATATAAATGTACTAATTACTTTTTAAACATAAAAGGAATAACAACTCAGCAAAACTAAAATAAAATGGCTTTTAATTGTATCCATGTTATTTTAAGTTAACATAAACATCTTTAAAGTAAATATATATTTAAATATGACTTAACAGGTCTGATTATTTTTATGTTCTTCCAAAAGAACACTTATAACTAGTTCTCTAATTTGGGTTAATTGAATCACTATTCAGTTTTATCTTTTGCAGTGTTTTCCAAACAGGACTTTGTTCTACAATGTAAGCTTTAGTTGTTATCATTCTATAGCAGACGCTATCCATATATGGTTTGGAGGTAGTCTGGAAGAAGATATAAATATGTAGCATTATTACAAAAATGAGATTTTTTTCAGGATCACATAAAAGAAAACTTTAATTTCAGTAAATATCTCATGATAACCTCTGAGATAAAAAATTACAATATATGAGTTATTAAGAGTAGTAAGAAAATATCTGATCTCTATCTTCAAGGAATTTCAAACATGCAAGCCAAAAGGAATAGTGCAATAATTACTTTAATGGGGATGTGTTCCAAGTGTGAGAATAAGGAAGACCTAACTCTGCCTAGGGAAGTTTTGGGGTTGGGGGGTATCTAGGCACATTTCATAGAGGAAAACAAGCAGGAAAAGATAGTGACCTAAGGGAGAACATTCCATTAAAAAATATGTTTGCACCCAGATTGTTATGATTGCAACCTGACCAATATTTTACATGAAGGAAGAGATAAGTAACCTATTGGCCCAGCACATGTACATATGGCCAAATGCTCTTGTGGCAAAATGAATCATAAGTGGGGTAGTGGCTACCAGAAGTAAATTTACAAGTTGAGTTCAGGAGTGGGAAGTAGTTGTATGTGTGAAAAAGCACTTCTCTGAGCTGAACAAAGCAGGGTATTTGTCAGTCTTGCTCAAGAGGGTGTGCAATCTGAAGCTAAACACCTGAAAACAGTATCATGTATCTTTTTCCCCAGGTGATTTACCTTAGCTATAGTGCACATAAGGTTGATAGCATTTGGTGTGTTGTGTACTGGAAGTATCCGTAATTTACTTCCCAGGAATCTGAAAAAGTAAAATCCTAAGTCATACAGACCATATACTTAACTGACATTTGTTCTCTTAAATAGGTATAATAAAGAGAGAAACCTCTATTGTTTACTATGTGTTTATTCATTCATGACCTGCCTTATATGACAGAGGATTTGAGGTGGTTTGATAACCAGAACTTAACTATTTACTTTTGGTCTTGCAGGAAAAGCCCATGAATCCACATGAACTCTGGCCACCCTAAATCATAGAACAGCTGTTTGTCCTGTTTCCTTAAATATGACAGGTTAACATTATAAAATTTTTCTTCTACCAAAACAAAATTCATCTGCCTGAATTAAGAACTGAAGTAAACACAACACACTATATTAAGTCTGTAGTGCTATTCTTCCATACCTCTGCTGAATCCTGAATATCAGTTTCCATTCTTCAGGCCCATAAAGAGCAGCAAACAGAACCAAAAAACTATTCCGGTGAATGTTAAGAAACTTCTCCATTTTGGTTAGAAATATTTCTTCAGCTGACATAATGCATTCGTTAGCATCCATCAATAAAAATGCAACTCCTAAAAAGGTGAATGTATAAAGTCACTTTTTCATACATAGCAGATTTTGTAAACAAAAGTCAAAATATAACTTCCTTTTTCTATAAGATGGGGATAAGAATTGTTAAGCTTGGGGGCCAGGGATTTAGCTCAGTGCTTTCGCCGCCTGCTGCGCAAGTGCAAGGACCCGAGTTCGATCGCCGGTGCCAAAAAAAAAAAAAAAAAAGGAATTGTTAAGCTTGTCAGAAGGGTTAAATAATGTATATAAAGTGGCAAACAATTGTAGTAGGTCACCAAAAATGATTTCCTTTCCCCAGGAGGGCTCTCTGTTAAGCCAGAAAAAAAAATGAGTTTGAGGCTGGACCACTTTCAGCCTGGAGGTCTATTTCTAAGAGCTTTTGAAAGCATTTATCTCCCAAAACCTCTGCTATAGTAGAGGTAGTCACTTTCTTGTCACTGGGACAAAATACTTGGCATGAACAACTTAAAAGAGGAGAGGTGTGTTTTGGCTCATAGCTTTTAGAGGAGTCAGTCCATAGCCTCCTGGTTCTGAGGCAGAAAGGCCATGGTAGAAGGGTCAGCTGAAGGTAAGCTGCTCGCCCCATGGTGTCTGGGAACCACAGAAGGGAAAAGCCAGGGAGGGAGAAACACTCAGGTCATACCTCCAGTGAGCTGCCACTAATCAGATTCTACCTCCTAACAGTATATATACTTAGCTACTGAACTCATTAATGGATGAATCCACTGATGACTAGTGTCCCCATGATCCAATCACCTTCCACGAGCCCCACCTCTGAACACTTGAGGCTTTGGGAGGACATTCTATATCTAAATGATAACAACCTTTTTATCACCTCTATTATCTCCCAATCACAGGTAGAACTGCCCCCTTCCCATTGCCCCAGTTTTCTCTTACCCTAATCCCTGTGCTTTGCTTATGACTCTTAGTATTAGGATTTCAGGAAAATTTATTTGTCCCCAGATAGCTCTTTAAGTTAGTATTTATTCATATCCTAGTCAGTAAACTCATACAAAATTGTGAAAAACAATTTCATATATAGATTTGTATATAAATTTTGGTTGATGTGATGTTGGGCTCTATTAATATGGTTAATACTTTAATATTCTTTTTGTGTGTGAGGTTCTACAGGATTGAACTCAGGGGCACTCTACCACTGACCTATAGCCTTACCCCTTTTAAATAATTTTTTTTCTTGAGAAAGGTCTTGCTCAGTTCCCCAGGCAAGACTTGACCTTGCCATTCTCTCCTGCTTTAATCTTCCTCAGGGCTGGGATTACAGACATGCATCACCACGCCCAGCTAATATTCTTGATTGCTGGGAAAGTGGCTTTTTCTATTTTCATATTAGTTCCAAAGCAAATTAGGTGTCCCCATCCTCTACCACACTCCACTGGTTCAGCTTTATTTTAATATTTTTTATTTTAGGAATACTGTATATTCATTAATTGGACAAATACACTGCTTTTGCAGCAACAACAAAGTTTAACACACCTCTCCCAAAAGATAACACCTTAAATTATAAAATGGTGACCAAATTGAAAAAATTATTAAAATTTGTACTCATCTTCATAAGAAATTTAAATCAAAGCAGTGAGCAAATATACTGTACCAGAAAGAGAAAATAAAATTGATCCATTTTCCACTGAATCTGAATACCGAATCTTGTGGCTTTGATTTTCCAGAGCAGTTGCAATTTCATAATTCTTTAAAAGAATTTTCAGAAATACAAACATAAGACATGCTTACAACAATCTTTATTACAGCTAATTAAAAATTAAAAGTGTCATAGCTTATAACTATACCACTTAAAGATTTGATCATCAAAAGAGAAAATATGTAGAAAAAATTTTTAAAAGAAGAGCAAAAATATTTAGTACTACTGAAACACTAATTCTAAGTTTGGAAATGAGTTGGGATACTACAGCTACATTATTTGGGGACAGAAATTAACAGTATAAAACAACTAAACTAAGAGAACTAGGGCAAATGCAGACTTCTAAAAATAATGACCTTGGAACAGATTCTGACATGTACTAGTGAACAAGATGGGTTGTGCTGTGTTTCTTACATGGTGGATATAACCACAATGATCCAGACATACAGAATACACAGGAGACAACCAATTTTCCAATTCATTTGTTTATATTAGTTACTTTATTATACATTTATGAGTCAGAGCTGGGACAGTGCCCATACCTACAATCCCAGCTACTTGGGAAGCTGAGGCAGGAGAATCACAAGCCCAGGAGTTCAAGACCAGTATGAGCAACAGAGCAAGACCCCATCTCTAAATAAGTAAATAATAAGCCAGGAAACACATATGAAGACAGCACTACTTTCTTCTGGTTTTAAAACTAAACATTTCAAAATTCACCTCATTTCCTATTCTACCCAAGCATGATCATATTATCCAAGACACTAAATCTAAGTGGTTAATGGTATTTCCTAATTGGTTAAAACTCAAGCTTGTTAGTTTCAGGTAGATAAAAATCCCTTAGGCTAATTTTATTTTCTTCCTGAACATGTATATTTTAAGCTAATAGAAATTATATGTAAAATATATACTTCCTTTCCATCCTAATGAGAGTATTTTATGATACTTAGATCCTGACCTAGAGTTCAACTATGGTTCTTTTGTCTGTAGTTTTAAAATTGTACACTGCTTTCACCAATGGCAGATTAACTAATTTAGGCCAACTCTCCTGTTGAAAGCAACGTGAAAGACAGGACAATTTAAAGAAAAATTAAAATCTACTTCTATGCATCATAGAGCTAGCAGGAAAGAAAAAAGTGTAAGGCTAAAATCTATATAAAAATTCAAAGATCTGACCTCAGCATTTAGGCCATTTCTTCCCTGAGGGCATCTGCCAATTCAGGAAGAGACAGAAGAGAGCTGAATAGAGTTTCTGACAAAAGTAGAGCAACTCTCAATGGGAATGTAGCTCAGCTTCAAGCCATTTCAGTCCCTGAAATTGTATTAACAAGATAGTAAATTACTAGTACTCTAAGAATCTAGCAGAAGGACTCCCTAGAGCAAACTTTCTGAATTAGGTCTTCACAATCAGGTCTATTGAATTAACAGAACAAAGAAAACTATTTTAGTGACTATTTTCTCAATTCTCCTATAACTAGTGTCATTCTATACGTACATGATGTAAGTTAATTCATCATATAAAACAATTTAGGACTTGGGTGTTATATTTAGCAAATAAAAATACAGAATGCACATGTACATTTGAAGTATAAACAATAATGTAATTTTTTAGTATAAGTATATCCCATTCAATATTTGGGACATACTTAATATCTAAAATTCAAATTCTATGTTATGTCTGGCAAATAGGGCACTAGGGGGTTAATTCTCTTAAAAAATTAAGGCTTCTTTAGAGGAATATAACATTTTAGGCCTTGGATTATTTCTACAATTTTTCAAATACAAATTGCAACAAAATTTTTAAAAACGCAAAGAGATAAGAACACATGAAAGAAAATCATCAGAAATAATGTGTAATAGAAATAGGTCCATAGGGGATCCATATAGTAAAGCTAATAAAATACATACCTTAACATAACTACGCTTACTATGTTCAGAGAGATGAGAAGATGTTAACAAGGTTTTTTTTAGATAAGGTCTCACTATGTAGTTTATGTAGTTTAGGCTGATCTTGAACTCACTACGTAGCCCAGGTTAGCCTTGAACTCATGGCAATCCTCCTGCCTCTGCCTTCCAAGTGCTGGGATTACAAGCATGAGCCATCATGCCCAACAACATTGAGAATTTTGGCAAGGTATCAGAAAATATATAAAAGGATGTGAAAGAGGAAAGCTTCCTAAAATTTGAGTCAAACCTGTAAAATAGATAAAGCAGTATATCAAGCAGGCAAGAAAAAGGAAGGGGATAAAAGTGAGAAAAGCATAGACAAAAAATAACAGGGAAAAGTATTCAGATGTGAAAGTATAATTCTTATTTTATGAGTGCAAAAGATATACATAAGTAAGCTAATTTGGAAACAGTGTTGGGAATAACTAGAGACACATCATAATGACCCATACATACTATACTAATGAATTTCAGTCATATCCTATGGGGGTGCCAAATAAAAACAATGATAATAAAATAATAGAAGAAAATCATAAAATTAGAAAGTAGTAAATTGAGAAAATAGGAACTTTAAGCATTGATTTGTCAAAATAACCAGAAAGTTAAGACTAGATTTTCCAAAATACATTTCATGGACTATTACAGACCCATGAGAGTTGAAAAGATATTCCTTATTCAGGTAAGACTGGAAAATACTGAATATTATTTTTATTTCTTTGGGCATTTTGCAGTGCATTTGAGCCTATTAAAGGCTCTGAAGAGTAGTGTAATAAAAAATTATTTAACTGTTTATACCAGCATTCCAGGTAAAATCTATATAATAATCCTTTCTACATATGTTATATTCCTTTAAAACTGGTATAGTATCTAGAAAATCTATCCATGTGATATGAAGTATAGAAAAGGGCACTTAATAACTGATACAGAATTTATTAGGTAATTTAAAGGATGCCAATATGGAAAATTTCACTACAGAAATGGTGAATTTCAGAGTTCAATTTAAATCCACAACCTCTATGAAATGAGTAAATATTTGCAAGTATATTACTTATGAAAATATACTCATAATAAAGTATAAAACATAATAGAGCAAAACCATAGAAACCATTACTTTCCTACATTTCTAAATAGATTATGAACATGGGTAATGTAATAAGAATCTCCTCCAAAACTTTTTTTGGAGGGATGGGGATTGAACTCAGGGCCTTCCACATGCTAGGCAAATGCTCTACAACTGAGCTACCTGCCCAGAAAAATTCCTTTTTATCTCAAAGTACAAATAATTTCTAAACTACATAAAGTGCATAGGTACACAAGAAATAAAAGGAGTGATACAAAGGAAAACCACTCTATTCCACACAAAAATACAACAGAAAGAGAAAACCATAAGCTGGTTTTTAATAAATAATGATGTAAAATTAAAATACTAGCCAGACAAATTTCCAAAGGACAAGAATAAAAATCCACAACAACCAACTACTTTACTGAAGAAATGCAAAGAGTGATTATTTAGGTTCTTCTCAACAGACAACACAAAACATGCATTTAAAAATTGTGTAGTTATTTCTGATGAAGAGAAAAAAACATAAATTAAACTTAGATGAATATATATCTTATGTGAGGCTGGATGTATGCTTATATATATAAGTGAAAAGTGACAGCAATGATACAAAAGACAGAAGAAAGAATTAGCATTATTTTCTTAAGGCACTCACATTACCCATGAAGCAACAGTGTTATCTGAAAGTAGATTTGGATTAGTTGTAAATATATGTTGCAAATTCTAGGAAAAAACATAACTGATATGCTAAGAAAGGAGAGAAAAATTGAATACATAAAATGTTCAAGCAAAATTTCAAAAGGGAGAATTACAACAATAGAAGCAAGTAATAAAGCCAAAAACTGAAAACTAATAAATACAGTAGGTATATATGAAATCATGTTGAACATCACTGGTCTAAATGCAATAACTAAAAGAAATTATCAGGGTGGATTAAAAAATAAAGCCCAACTATATGTTGTAATAAGAAATTTATTTTACAAGCTCCAGTGGCACAATTGGTTAGCGCACAATACTTATACAGAAATTTATTGTAACTATAAAGGCACATATAGATTAGAAGTAAATGGATAAAGAAAAATATACCATACTAATACTAATAAAAAAAGCAGGAGTAGCTACATTCATTTCAGAGTGAAGTTTAAAGAAAGTTATCAAAGACAAAGAAGGTCATTAAATAATGATAGAGGGGTCAGTTCTCCAAGAAGACACAATCCTTAGTGTGTATGTATGTAACAACAGAGCATAAGTTATGTGAGACAAAAACCAATAAAATCACAAGGAGCAAGTTAAATTTACTGTTATAGTGGGAAATTTCAACATCCCTCTATGACAAATGGACAGATCTGACAAGCAGAAAATCACCAATTAACAATACAGATATTCTTCATTTAACAATTTTCCTGTTTAACAGCTGTTCATACTTACAACTGAGATGTGCTTTTTGGACTTAAAACTCACCACTCAAAAAAAAAAACAACTCACCATTCAGACTTATGACTCAACTTTTTTTTTTGATACAGCTCTGTACATCTTGTTTTTAGACCCTCAATGTCTTTTTTTTGGTACAGTATACCTTGTTTATATAGTATTGTAATTTCTGCTGATTATATGCTAGAATACCATGGTTTTATGTTTTGGTATGCATTACAGTATTGCATGTAAGAGTTATGTGAATAAAAGCAAAGTCATCAAGTTGGAGTTTCCTTTGACCATTTCTTTGTTCTGAATATTGTAATGTACATATGACATACAACTCATTTAGTGACCAATTTATGTAACCTAGTCACATGAATGTAAATTGGTCCTTAAACAAGGAGTGTCTGTATATGTAATTGATACCTACAGAATCCTTCATCCAACAATAGAATGCACTTTCTTCTCAAGTTCATACGGAGTATTCACTAGAACAGACTACATTTTGAGCCATAAAGCACACCTTAAAATTTTCTGCTCTCAGATCACAATGAAATTAAACTAGTTAGCATAACTGAAAAAACCCCAAAGTGTGTTAAACAACACACTTTCAAATAACACAAAGG